AACAGAATAGAAACACCAGAAATCAATCCAAACATCTACAGCCAACTTATATTTGATGAAGGATCCAAAACCAATCCCTGGAGTAAGGACAGTCTGTTCAATAAATGGTGCTGGGAAAATTGGATTTCCACGTGCAGAATCATGAAGCAAGACCCCTACTTTTCACCTTACACAAAAATTCACTCAACGTGGATTAAAGACTTAAATCTACAACCCGACACCATCAAATTATTGGAGAACATTGAAGAAACCCTGCAAGATATAGGTACTGGAAAAGACTTCTTGGAAAATACCCCAGAAGCACAGGCAGTCAAAGCCAAAATTAACATTTGGAATTGCATCAAATTGAGAAGTTTCTGTTCTTCAAAAGATACAGTCAGGAAAGTGAAGAGGCAACCGACAGAATGGGAAAAAATATTTGCAAACTACACAACAGATAAAGGGTTGATAACCAGAATCTACAAAGAAATCAAGAAACTCCACAACATCAAAACAAACAACCCACTTAAGAGATGGGCCAAGGACCTCAATAGACATTTTTCAAAAGAGGAAATCCAAAGGGCCAACAGACACATGAAAAAATGTTGAAGATCACTAGCAATCAGGGAAATGCAAATCAAAACCACAATGAGGTTTCACCTCACCCCAGTTAGAATGGCTCACATTCAGAAATCTACCTGGCCGGCGCCGCGGCTCAATAGGCTAATCCTCCGCCTTGCGCCACCGGCACACCGGGTTCTAGTCCCGGTCGGAGCACCAGATTCTGTCCCAGTTGCCCCTCTTCCAGGCCAGCTCTCTGCTGCGGCCTGGGAGTGCAGTGGAGGATGGCCCAAGTACTTGGGCCCTGCACCCCATGGGAGACCAGGAGAAGCACCTGGCTCCTGGTTCCTGCCTTCGGATAGGCGCCATTGGAGGCCATTGGCGGCCATTGGAGGGTGAACCAACGGCAAAAGGAAGACCTTTCTCTCTCTCTCTCTCACTGTCCACTCTGCCTGTAAAAAAAGAAAAGAAAAGAAAAGAAAAAGAAATCTACCAACAATAGGTGCTGGAGAGGATGTGGGGAAAAAGGGACACTAACCCACTGTTGGTGGGAATACAAACTGGTTAAGCCACTATGGAAGTCAGTCTGGAGATTCCTCAGAAACCTGAATATAACCCTACCATACAACCCAGCCATACCACTCCTTGGAATTTACCCAAAGGAAATTAAATTGACAAACAAAAAAGCTGTCTGCACATGAATGTTTATTGCAGCTCAATTCACAATAGCTAAGACCTGGAACCAACCCAAATGCCCATCAACAGTAGACTGGATAAAGAAATTATGGGACATGTACTCTATAGAATACTATACAGCAGTCAAAAACAATGAAACCCAGTCATTTGCAACAAGATGGAGGAATCTGGAAAACATTATGCTGAGTGAATTAAGCCAGTCCCAAAGGGACAAATATCATATGTTCTCCCTGATTGGCGACAACTAACTGAGCACCAAAGGGGAAACCTGTTGAAGTGAAATGGACACTATGAGAAACAGTGACTTGATCAGCTCTTGTCCTGACTGTTGATGTACAATGTAATACTTAATCCATTTTAGTATTTTTTTGTTCTAGTACTATTGGTTGACCTCTGTAATTAACACACAATTATTCTTAGGTGTTTAAATTTTAACTGAAAAGTGATCCCTGTTAAATATAAGAGTGGGAATAAGAGAGGGAGGAGATGTACAATTTGGGACATGCTCAATCGGACTTGCCCCAAATGGTGGAGTTAGAAACGTGCCAGGGGATTCCAATACAATCCCATCAAGGTGGCATGTACCAATGCTATCTCACTAGTCCAAGTGATCAACTTCAATTCACAATTGATCACACTGATAGGTCTAAGAGTCAAAGGGATCACACAAACAAGACTAGTGTCTGCTAATACTAACTGACAGAATCACAAAGGGAGAGAACGATCCAACATGGGAAGCGGGATACACAGCAGACTCATAGAATGGCAGATGTCCTAAATAGCACTCTGGTCTCAGAATCAGCCCTTAAGGCATTCGGATCTGGCTGAAGAGCCCATGAGAGTATTTTAGGCATGGAAAGCCAAGACACTCTGGGGAAAAAAAAAAAGAAGACCTAAATGAAAGATCTGCGAATGAGATCCCAGTGGAAAGAACGAGGCCAACAAAGGAGGTACCTTTCTCTGAAGGGAGGAGAGAACTTCCACTTTCTCTATGACCCTGTTAGAATAAGATCGAAGTCAGTGAACCCAAAAGGCTTCCATAGCCTTGGCAACTCATGACTAGAGCCTAGGGAGATTACTGATGCCATAAACAAGAGTGTCAAATTCTTAAGTCAACAGCAGGAATCACTGTGTACTTACTCCTCATGTGGGATCTGTCCTTAATGTGTTGTCCAATGTGAAGTAATGCTATAACTAGTACTGAAACAGTATTTTTTTTTTTACAGGCAGAGGGGATAGTGAGAGAAAGAGACAGAGAGAAAGGTCTTCCTTTTACCGTTGGTTCACCCTCCAATGGCTGCTGCGGGTGGCGCGCTGCGGCCGGCACAACGCGCTGATCCAAAGGCAGGAGCCAGGTGCTTTTCCTGGTCTCCCATGGGGTGCAGGGCCCTAGCACTTGGGCCATCCTCCACTGCACTCCCGGGCCACATCAGAGAGCTGGCCTGGAAGAGGGGCAACCGGGAAAGAATCTAGTGCCCCGACCCGGAGTAGAACCTGGTGTGCTGACGCCGCTAGGTGGAGGATTAGCCTATTGAGCTGGAGCCGCGGCGCCGGCCTGAAACAGTATTTTTACACTTTGTGTTTCTGTGTGGGTGCAAACTGATTAAATCTTTACTTAGTATATACTGAATCGATCTTCTGTATATAAAGATAATTGAAAATGAATCTTGATGTGAATGGAATGGGAGAGGGAGTGGGAGATGGGAGGGGTGCGAGTGGGAGGGAAATTATGGGGGGGAGGAGCCAATGTAATCCATAAACTGTACTTTGGAAATTTATATTTACTAAATAGAAAAAAAAGAAAAAAAAAGAAATTCCCCCCGTGACCTCTGACCTTCTGTTTTTCATACAGTTTCTATCACTGTTATGTTGGTGAATAACGCGCTTCAATGGGCTGAATTGTCCAACATCATTCTCTTCCCAAAGAACACTCTGTGGAGCTCTTACCTATGGGTTTTCTCTTCCAGATGAGTGTGGCTGTTGCTTCCCAAACTTCAACAAAATACTTCCTTTAATTTTTTTTAAGATTAATTTATTTGGGGCTGGCGCTGTGGTGTAGCAGGTAAAGCCGCCGCCTGCAGTACTGGTATCCCGTGTGGGCTCTGGTTCTAGCCCCGGCTGCTCCACTTCCGATCCAGCTCTCTGCTGTGGCCTGAGATAGCAGTGGAAGATGGTCTACGTCCCTTGGGCCCCGTACCCGCGTGGGAGACCTCGAAGAAGCTCCTGGCTCCCGGCTTCGGATCGGCACAGCTCTGGCCGTTGGTGGCCAATTGGGGAGTGAACCAGCAGCTGGAAGACCTCTCTCTCTTTCTCTGCCTCCGCCTCTCTGTAACTATTTCAAATAAATAAATCTTTTTTTAAAAAAAGAAAACAATAAAGGTTAATTTATTTTATTGAAATGCAGAGTGACAGAACTCTCCCATCTACTTGTTCTCCTCCTGATTTCCCACACGGGTGGCAGCAGTATAACCCACTGCACCACAGTGCCAGCACCCTTCTTTGAAATGTTAGTGGACGTTGCATGAATCCATGCACTGGCTTAGCATCACTTTTACCCTCCTCACCCAAGTGCAACGGACCCCTTTGCCCAAAGTGTCACTTATTTCTCCCATTAGTTTCATCGCTTCCCTGGATGGCCGTTGACTGTTGGCTTTCAGACTTCCAGGTCTGGCCTTTGGAGTAAGGTCACCTGTGGAGTGTCTGATCTGTGAGGTCAGGACCTGGAAACACACTCAGTGCAGGGCAAGGCATCCTGCCCTCATCTTTTTTTTTTTTTTTAAGATTTATTTATTTATTTGAAAGGCAGAGATTCAGCGAGGCAGAGAGAGGTCTTCCATCTGCTGGTTCACTCCCTGCATGACCGCAAAGGCTGGACCTGGGCCAATCTGACGCCAGGATCCAGGAGCTTCTCCTGGTCTCCCATGTGGGTGCAGGGCCCCAAGCACCTGGGCCATCTTCTGCTGCTTTCCCAGGTGCATCAGCAGGAGGCTGGATCAGAAGTGGAGCAGCTGGGTCTCGAACCGGTGCCCACGTGGGATGCCGGTACCACAGGCAGAGGCTTTCAGTGCTGCGCCACAGCGCCAGCCCCCTGCCCATGTCTTGATGCCCATCTCCTTTCCAGTGGTCTTCTCCATCTGCCCGGCCTAGCCCCAGGCAGGGTCCCTGCCCTCCCACCCCAGGCCCTTCCTCTTGTCGCCTGGCTCTGACCCGGGTCGCATTCCTGCAGCTGCTGTCAGGAAGTCCCGTAGCCTGGGTTGCTGGGAGCCACTATAATTTGTTGTCCCAGGGCTCCGGAGGCCAAAAGTAGGAAATCAGGGTGTCGGCAGGATCGCGCTCGCTCTGAAACCCATAGGGGATTCGTTCTTTGCCGCTTCCCGCTCTCTGGTGCTTTGGTGGCCACCTGTGGCTTTCCTGGGATTGTGGGTGCCTCACGCCAGCCCTCTGCCCTCTTGTGGCATTCCTCCTGTGTTTCTGCCTCTTCCTTCAACACACAGACACCATCCTACCCCCGTGTGGCCTCAGCTAATGACACCTGCAACAGCCACCCTCTGCCGTGTTCCTGCTTAGGACTAAACACCGTTTCGGGAGGGAGACACAGTTCAACCCACAACACCTGCTGGCCCCTGTTTCTCCAAACCCTGCGTCCCCTGAGCCAAAATCCACCCCCTCCCCCGGGCTGTGGTCCCTCACCACCGGCTAGAACCGGCTCAGAGCTTCGGCCCCTGGCCGAGAGCCCTCGGCTGACCTCTCGCACCCCCCACCAGGCACGATGACCTGAAGGAGATGCTGGACACTAACAAGGACTCCCTCAAGCTGGAGGCCATGAAGCGGATCGTGGCGGTGAGGCTGGGCGCTCCCCGGGGCAGGGGCCTGGCTGCCTGGCTGCCTGGCAGCAGCTCTCCTTGGCTCCTGTGGGCCCTCCCCTAACCAGAACCCTGCCTCCTCCCTCCCTTGTCCCCGCTGCCCGCCCAGATGATCGCCCGCGGGAAGAACGCCTCGGACCTGTTCCCCGCCGTGGTGAAGAACGTGGCCTGCAAGAACATAGAGGTGAGCAAAGAGGGGACCCCACCCTCACCTCCAGCCGGGCCACACCCACACAGGGCTGGGAGGATGCCAAGGGGGGGGGGGCTCACCCGCTCAGCAGGGTTCCTGAGCCCTGCATGTCCCCGCCCTGGGTGTGGACCCTGGGGAAGGGCTCGGGACCCGCTGGGAGGACTGGTGCCCGTGGACTGCCGCCCCCGCTGACACCCCTCCATGCAACTCGCAGGTGAAGAAGCTGGTGTACGTGTACCTGGTGCGCTACGCCGAGGAGCAGCAAGACCTGGCCCTGCTGTCCATCTCCACCTTCCAGCGTGGCCTGAAGGTCGGGAGTCTCCATCTGCCTCCTGTATTAGAGGAGTGGCCTCCGGGAGAGGCTGAGAGTCGGGGAGCAGGCTCCACAGGCCCCCAGGGGACCCACGAGCCCCTCTGAGAGTGGAGGCCTGGCTCCAAGGGCGGGAGATGGGGTGGGCACCCAGGGCCTGCAGCTCTCCTGGGAGGGCGAACCTGTGGTGAGGGTGGTGTCTTCGTCCATTTCTGCTGCTGTGACTACACACCACAGATTAGGTAATGTCTAAAGAACGGAAGTTCATTTGGTTCGTGATTTTCAGAGGCTGGGAAGTGGGAGTCTGAGGGGCCGGGTCTGGCCAGCTCCTCCTTATTTGCAGGGTCCTGTGGCAGCCTGGGGGTGTCACATGGCAAGAGGATCACATCCAAGAGACAGAACTGAACTGGTGTTTTGAAAATGTTATTTATGGGGCCGGTGCTGTGGCGTAGCGGGACTCTCTCTCTCTGTCTCTTTCTGCCTCTTGGTAACTCTGCCTTTCAAATAAATAAGTAAATATTCTATTTTTTAAAGATTTATTTATTAATTTGAAAGGCAGAGTTACAGAAAGGCAGAGGCAGAGAGGGAGAAAAGTCTTCCATCTGCTGGTTTACTCTCCAATTGGCCACAATGGCTGGAGCGGGGCTGATCCGAAGCCAGGAACCAGGAGCTTCTTCCAGGTCTCCCACGTGGGTGCAGGGGCCCAAGGACTTGGGCCATCTTTTGCTGCCTTCCCAAGCACATTAGCAGAGAGCTGGATAGGAAGTGGAGCAGCTAGGGCTCGAACTGGCACCCTTATGGGATGCTGGCACTGCAGGCAGTGGCTTTATCCAGTACGCCATAGCACTGGCACCATAAGTAAATATATTTTTTAACGTTATTTAATTCTGAGGCAGAGAGACAGGGAGATACACACACAGAGGGCAGAGGCAGCTCCCATCCAGGCCTCATTTCCCAGATGCCCACAACAGCCAAGGCTGTTATACGGGATATGAGTGTCTTAACTGCTAGGCCAAACAGCTGCCTTCAAACTGGCTTTTTTCACAGATCCACTCCTGGGATAACCCATAAATCCATTAACTCAGAGTCCTCATGACCTTACCACCTCTTTAAACAAAAATGTTTATTTGTATCTTCATCCATGTGAAAATTCTGAAAAGGCAGAGCAAGAGAGAGAGAGAGAGAGAGAGAGAGATCTTCCATGCGCTGGTTTACTCCCCAAATGCCTGCAACAGTAGGACTGGGCCAGGCTGAAGCCAGGAGCCAGGAACTCCATCCAGGACTCCCATGTGGGTGGCAGGCACCGAAGCCACCATGCACTATCATCTGCTGCCTCCCAGGTGCGCATTAGCCCGGAGCCTGATGGGACGCAGAGACGCAGGAATGCAGGCTGGTACTGTGGTGTGGGAGGCAGGCATCCCGAGCAGCAGCTTAACCCGGGGCCAGAGTCACTTCCTGACGTCGCTGTAAGGGTGGACCCCTTAGCCCGCGGCAGTGGAGAGTCCCTGGCAGCCAAGAGCCCCTTGGCTCTCCTCCTTCTGGGCGGAGGAGCCTGTGAGGAGGGCCATGGCCTGCGCTCTTCACTGCTGGGCGCCACAGCCTGGGCACCCACTGACTCCCCTTTCAGCCAGGGATGGGGGAAGAACGGGGGTTTCCTGAGCCTAAGTGAGTTCCACTGAGAAGAAAAATGGAGTTGAGCATGCGCAAGAGTTGCCCCAGACTCGGAGGTTGGGTTCCAAGGTCAGCGCAAGGGTCGGATTGAGTCTGAGGTTTCCGTTTTCAGGTGGGGACAGCCGTGAGTCTGAACGAATCTGTCCGAGTGCCGTCTGCACCAGCAGTGGTTGACAGGTCTTTGATGTTCCAGGGCATGCCAGGTGTCCATCCCCGAAGCCCTGGCCCACACCTACTGTGGGGAGCAGGCTGGCAGAGTTCGCGTCTTTGGCGTGGGGTCGAAAGCAGGGTCACTTGCGTGTACAGTTCGTTCATTCACTCAGCAGACAGGTGCATGTCCCCGTGTCAGGCAGCGTGTGAGTGGTCTTTGCAGGCCAAGCCCATGGGCTCTAGGGCAAGTGTTTTTGTTCCTGGAACAAAGTCAGCCCCGGACTGTCCATTGGTTAGAGTGGCACCGGAAGGTGGTCCGGTGTGCTCTCCCCTCCCCACCCCTTGCAAGTTAGCCAGAGGGCCTTCTATATGGGAAGTGGTTAAGCAGGTTTCTGGGGGTCCCCTGGAGACTTCTTTGATGTGAAAGCAGGTGGAAGCCCTGTGGCCTGTCACAAATTGCTCTCTATTCTGGGGTCTGTTTGGTCATCTTTCTGTAGCTTAGCTCATGATAACTGGAAGCTGAAATCTGCAATGTGCAGCTAGTCCCAAGGTTGTAAAGGAGAGAAGGGAAGTATGGTGTGGTTACGGTTACGCCAGCAGCAAAGACACCACTTAGGATGCCTGTATCCCATCTCCCGAATCAGAAAACCTGGCTTCCGACTCTAGTTTCCTGCTAAAGCAGACCCTAGGAGGCAGCAGCTGACGCTCGAGTACTTGGGGTCCCTGCCCACTCACATGGGAGAGTGCCTGGATTGAGATCCCAGCTGCTGGCTCCAACCTGGCGCCGCCTTGGCTGTCACAGGCATTTGAGGAGTGAACCAGTGGGCGGAGCTTGTGCGCTCTCTCCTTCTCTTTCTGTTTCTCTGCCTTTCAAATTAATAACAAACACCAGGGTGAGTGTTGTGGTACAGCAGATTACACTGTGGCGTGGGATGCCCCAGGGCTGATCCAAGCCCTGGCTACTCCGATTCCAATGCAGCTCCCTGCTAATGCACCTGGGAAGGCAACAGAAGATGGCCACGTGCTTGGGTCCCTGCCACCCATGTGGGAGACCCGGATGAAGTTCCTGATTTCAGTGTGACCCAGCCCTGGTTGTTTCAGGGATTTGGGAAGTAAACCAGAGCATAGGAAGTTGGATCTCTCTCTGTCTCTCTGTCACTCTGTCAAATAAGTAAAATAAATCTTTAAAAAAACACATAAGCAAGCAGGTTAAACTGCTATGTTATCGCCTACAACCCAAATCAGGGCGAGGGAGTTTGAGTCTTGGTGTGCTTCCAATCCACCTTCCTGCTAATGCACCTGGGTGGCTGCAGAAACTAGCCCAAGTACTCGAGCGTCTGACACCTGTGTGGGAGACCCAGCTGGAGCTGCTGGCTGCTATTTTCAGACATTTAGGGAGTGAACCAATGGATGGAGGATCTCTCTCTCTCCCCGAAACCCCCGTCTTGCAAATAAATCTTTTAAAAATTAGCCATGGAGGCTTCAACACAATAGAATGGTTTAAAAAAAGAACTTTAAAAATTACAGCTGTAGCAAGAAGGAGCATGATGTCCCAGTACTTTATGAGGGACTGAGCCCTGTCTTACGGGAGATGACCAGCGTGTTTCTAAAGCAAAGACTGGCACCTCACAGACCTCAGCCGAACCTGTCTGCCGCCTGGCTGCTCATGTAAGAGTCTCTCTTTAGTTTTATTCATTTATTCGGTGAGAGACAGATAACAGAAAGCTCTTGTCTGCTTCATTCTCCAAATGCCCACAACAGCCAGAGCTAGGCCACAGCCAGGAGCCAGGAATTCAACCAGGTCTCCCCCGTGAGTGGCAGGGACCCAACTATTTGAGCCATCACCTGCTGCCCGTCGCGGTCGCATTAGCAGGGAGCTGGACTCCAGAGTGAAGCCGGTGCTGGAGCTCGAGCAGTCTGCTGGGCAACACCGGTGTCTTACCCGGCACCTTCCCTGCCAGAACAAACGCCCATCCCTGCTGCCTGCTTTATACAGACTCAGTGGCATACAGCCACGCCCACTTGTTCATGGCTGCTTTTGCACGGGGCAAACTCGAGTAGCTGCAGTGTTGAGACTGTGCAGCCTGCAAACCTAAAATACTGTTTGGCACTTCACAGAAAGTCAGCTGACTGCTGTTCCAAGAGAAGGGAATCACCAGCAGCCCTGGTTTCTACAAGCACAAAGGGCACACGCTGAAGAAGCTATAGGTGAGGGAGAAATCTGCAAAATTCCAGAGTAGTTTTTATGATTTAACCCGATTCCAACCAAAGACAGAATATACCAACCCCAGAATACAACATGGATCCAACAGCCAAGCCTCCTGTCTCTCTCCATTTCTCATTCTCATGCATATATTTATCCTTTTTTTAAAAGATCTATTTATTTGAAAGGCAGAGTTACAGGGAGGCAGAGGGAGAGAGAGAGCGAGAGAGCGAGAGAGAATGAATCTTCCATCCACTGGTTTACTCCCCTAATGACCACAGTGGCCAGAAGTGGGCCTATCTGAAGCCAGGAGCCAGGAGCTTCTTCCAGGTCTCCCACGCAGGTGCAGGGGCCCAAGGACTTGGGCTATCTTCTGCTTTCCCAGGCCAACAGTAGGGAGATGGATCTGAAGTGGAGCAGCCAGGACTTGAACTGGCACATATATGGGATGCTGGTGCCACAGGAGGATGCTTAAGTTACTATGCTACAGTGCTGGCTCCTTAATTCCATTTTAATGAACTTCTAAAAGTACCCTCATATCCATCCCGGGGCCTGCCTTCGTTTTATCAGCCTAGGCTAAGACTGTGTTTAGTTTTTAATGAATTAATTTGAGAGAGAGAGAGAAGTGTTGCCGTCACTGGTTCACTTCCCAAGTGCCCATGTAAGCTTGATGGCTAAAGCTGGGAGCCAGACACTCAGTCCCGGTCTCCCACGTGGGTGGCAGGGACCCAACTGCTTGAGCCATCAGCTGCTGCCTCGCAGGATCTGCGTTAGCAGGAAGCTGGAGTCAGAAGCTGGCGTCAAACCCAGGCACTCTGATACGGGACACCCACGTCTTAACCGCTGCACCAGTGCCCACTGCTTGTTCACCTCTCAGCAGACCTCCCATGTCGTCAGACCTCTGGTTGGCAGGAAGCTCAGCCGGGCTCTATTTCATTTATTGGCTCAGCATAGCGACCAAGCCAGGGTGATCTTGAATCCTAATCCTGTCCCTCCTGACTTTGTGCCTGCCTCCAGGACACTGGTTACCCTATTCTGCCCGGGGCAGCAGACTTCAAGTCTGTGCTGTGTCAGGTTTCCAGGTCGATACTGATCTGTAAATAAACCTTCCCCAAACGGTTTACCAGGTTGTGGGTCCACCAGCCAGCTGGTGTTTTCCTGCGTTACCAGGAAGAATCTTACTCAATAGAAAAAAAAAATTAACATCTTTTGTGTGCAAAGGGCTTTGGATGACGCAGATAAAAAGATAATGAATTCTGCTGTTAAGATGCTTACAGATTAGGGTGAAACAAATAAAAATAGCAGGACAGGAAATGATGAGGGACTTCTACAAATGCCTTGCTGAAATCAAGGTTAATATGAATGTCTCCCAACTAGTTACCCTCTCAAAAAAAAAAAAAAAAAAACAAGAGGGCATTTAGACTAATGTTGAGATGCTGTTAAAATGCCTGGGTTTGCATTCTGGCTGCAGCTCACGTAACTGCATGCCCTGGGAGGCAGCAGGTGATGGCTCCAGGAATTAGGTTCTTGCCAGCCCCATGGGAGACCTGGATTGCAATCCCGGCTCCTGGCTTTCACCCCAGACCAGCAGATGGGAGCTCTCTTCTTCTCTGCCTCTGCTTCTCAAATAAAAATTCAGGGGTGGGAGCTGTGGCACAGTGGGTTAACCTGAGGTTTGAGATGCCCACATCCCATATCATAGTGGCAGCTCAAATCCCGGCTGCTACACTTCTAATCCAGCTCCCTGCTGATGCATCCTGGGAGGCAGTAGATGAGGGCTCAAGTATTGGGGTCCCTGCCACCGATATGGGAGGCCCAGATGGAGTTCTGGGCTCCTGGAGTTGGCCTGTCCCACTGTTGCAAACATTTGGGGGAGTGAATCAGCAGATGGATGATCTCTCTAAGCCTTTCAAATAGATGAAAATAAGTATTTAAAACATTTGAAAACAGAAAACCAATTTTTAATTTGTTAGGAAGACAGACAGCATCAGTTCACTCCCCAAACGTCCACAACAGTTGGGGCTGGACCAGGCCAGAGCCAGCAGCCAGGAACTCATCCAGGTCTTCTGCATGGGTGGCAGGAACCCAGGGTCTGCTTAGCAGGAAGCTGGAGTCAGGAGCCAGAGCTGGGAGTTGAACCCATGTTCTCTGATGTGGGATGCGGATGTCTTAATTGCTAGGCTAAATGTCTGTCCCGAGGAAACAGATTAAAAAAAAAAAAAACAAAACTTCCTGTGAATAAGCAATCATTCCCAAATAAAATGCTTTAAAAATTAAGGAAAAAGGTTTTGGTAGTTGACATGGGATGTCTCTAGGGAAGAAGAAAAAAAAAAGATGCTTGCTTTTTAAACAGGTGTTTCTAAGCCATCTGTTTAAAACTCACTTCCAGAATTTGGCAGGAGCTGCCGTCAGTTTCAGGATAACGTGTGCCTCTTCTCTTTCTCCATTTTAGAAAATGAGGGTGGCACTCCCAGGTGTGTGTATAGGCTGTGCTAGGAGCAAAGCGAAAGGGCCTGCACACACAGCCTGGCTCAGCACTGTGCCAGGGGGCATGTTTGCGTGGCTGCTGGGGCGCGCGCTTGGGAAGGCAGAACGGCTTGTGGCTTTCTGCAGTCACTTCAGGCAAGGACAGAAGACGCACCCCGCACCCCCCCCCCCCGCACACCCCTCCCCCCGCATCCCAGCGGTGTTTCAGGGACTCCAGGCCTTCCGAGAGCTTTCTGCTCTTGCTGAAAACAAAGCTGCCCTTTGCTGCACCTGTTCAGGTGTCAGGTTTCTGAAGCCAGAGGGAGGCAACAGGCAGCGCCCCCAGGTGGTGCCCCACCGGGTACCCAGCGCTGGACATCATCCAGGCTCAGGTCAGGAGGCAGGGACACGAGAGCTGCTGGTAGCCAGGCGCGCTGACTTCCAAAGCTGCGGTCTCCGGTCTCCGGGGATCAGAACCCCTGGCGCCCTCCCATGGCTCCCTCCACCTGTGCCCTTAGGACCCCAACCAGCTGATTCGCGCCAGCGCCCTTCGCGTTCTCTCGAGCATCCGCGTGCCCATCATCGTGCCCATCATGATGCTCGCCATCAAAGAGGCTGCCTCGGACATGTCCCCCTACGTGCGGAAAACAGCCGCCCACGCCATCCCCAAACTCTACAGGTAGCCCCAGCCCTGCCCGGGCCCCACCCTTCGCGCCTCAGGTCCCTAAGCCCCCAGCCTTAGAACGGAGGCGGGGACCCCCGCCTCTTTATGAGCAGGGTTGGGGTGCCGGGGAGGAGCGTGGGAAAGCCGAGATGGGAGGGGGAAAATCCTCCTCCACGATTTCTCGCCCAGTCTGGACTCGGACCAGAAGGACCAGCTGATAGAGGTCATCGAGAAGCTGCTGGCCGACAAGACCACGGTGCGTGCACACCCGTGGGCGCGCACGAGCGGGGCGGGACGGCCGCCCTTCCCGCTCACGCTCCGGGCGTGGGGGGGCCTGTCCGTCCTCAGCTGGTGGCCGGCAGCGTGGTGATGGCCTTCGAGGAGGTGTGCCCCGAGCGCATCGACCTGATCCACAAGAACTACCGCAAGCTGTGCAACCTGCTCATCGACGTGGAGGAGTGGGGCCAGGTGGTCATCATCAGCATGCTCACCCGCTACGCGCGCACGCAGTTCCTGAGCCCCACCCAGAACGTGAGTGGCCGCCGCCGGCCGGCGGGGCAGGGGCGCGCCGGAGCCCGGGCCGCGGGCGCCGCTGAGCCGCCTCTGCTCCGCCCAGGAATCCCTGCTGGAGGAGAGCCCCGAGAAGGCCTTCTACGGCTCGGAGGAGGACGAGGCCAAGGGCCCGGGGTCGGAGGAGGCGGCCGCCGCGGCGCTCCCGGCCCGGAAGCCCTACGTCATGGACCCCGACCACCGGCTGCTGCTGCGCAACACCAAGCCGCTGCTGCAGAGCCGCAGCGCCGCCGTGGTCATGGCGGTGGCACAGCTCTACTTCCACCTGGCGCCCAAGGCCGAGGTGGGCGTCATCGCCAAGGCGCTGGTGCGCCTGCTGCGCAGCCACAGGTGCGCCCGCCCCGCCCCGCCGCCTTGGTCCCGCCCATGGCCCCGCCCCCGCCCCGGCCGGCCTGTCCCCATTCCAGTCCCAGGCTGCCCTCGCCGCCCCCGCCCCCGCCCCCGCCCCCGGGCTAAGTGGACCCCGCCCCACTCTGCTGCTCCACCGGCTGCTGCGCTACCCTGGCTCGCACGCTCATGCCCCGCCCCACACACTCCTCGTCCCAAGCCCACCTGCCCCCTCCTCAATCGGTCCTCTTCTCCCACCACGGGGGTCTCTGTCGCATCCTGTCGGCAGTGAGGTGCAGTACGTGGTGCTCCAGAACGTGGCCACCATGTCCATCAAGCGCCGGGTGAGCTGCGACCCCCCCCCCCCCCGTGGGCCCTGGGGGAGCTGTTGGGGCTGTGGGCGGGGCGAGGTGGGGACTGGAAGAATGCCAGGCCTGTGGCCAACAAGGAGATGGGGACACTCCTCCCAAACCTGGCCCCTGGGGCGCGGGGGTGGTGGGACGGCCTGACCCGACCTGGAGAAGGGAGGAGGAGGGGGAAGAGACAAGGGGAGGCAGGCCTGGGGCTGCGGTGGAGCTCCCTGCCCCCTCCCCCTCCCCCTTTCTTGTGCCAGGGCATGTTTGAGCCATACCTGAAGAGCTTCTACATAAGGTCCACCGACCCAACCCAGATCAAAATCCTGAAGGTGAGTGAGGGATCGTTCCTTCTCTGCCCGGCCCCACATACCCACTCAGATAACCCACGGTGGCCGCCTCGGTGCTGCCCGGGCTGGAGCCATTGGCTCAGGGAGCAAATGAGAGTGGGGAACCAGGGAGAAGAGAGCTGCCCTTCACCTGGTACCTGGGGTGCACCTGCCGCCCTCATATTTGAAGTAAGCTTGATATTTTAACAACCCCAGGAAATGCACAACACCTCTGTTTTACAAAAGCGTAGACCCAGGGAGGTGAGGTGACCTGGCTCACCCCCTGCAGTTGCCTGCCACCCACCTTCAGGGTTGTGGTCCCCACGCACCCACCTTCTCGGGCTTTTTTTTGGCGTACATACAAGAAGAGAAGAAGCGGCAGGAGCCCTGTGCTGCGAATTTTTAGTGATTTCACTGAGCAGCAGTTAATCCTTCTAGCCCTTTGGAACATCCACTATAGATCAGTTGCGTTGCTAGGTCTGGTTGGGGGTGGAGGAGACTTTAAGTAATCAATTTAAGGCAATTGCAAACGATCTGTTTATGAAATAAAGAAAAAAGAAGAGAGCCTAACGCAGAGGCGGCTCCTCGGGTCTGGCACTGGGGAACCTGTCTGTAAGGGGAGGAAGCTGGGGCTGCGGCCTGAGGAAGTATCGTGAATTATCTATGGAAACACAGGCACAGAAATGGACACTCGGGGAGATAGTATGTGCGAGGACCCCAAGGCAGGAAGGGGCCTGTGACTGGGGCTCAGGGGGCAAGGAGGTGGGAAATGAGAGGTAGACAGCCGTCAGGTCCTCCAGGGAAGAAGGTGAGCTCCACCCTAAGGCCTGGGGAGGGGAAGCAGTCACTTGGTGTGGAAGCCACTTAGGAGCCAAACTCTTGGGTTTCGGATGAGATTCAGGATCTGCCAGCTGTCTCATCCTCAGTCTCAGGATCTGGGTGGGAGCACAGAAAGCCCCCCCGGGCACCCTGCCCACTTCCTCTCTCTCCGCCTCTCCCTCCAGCTGGAAGTGCTCACCAACCTGGCCAATGAGACCAACATCCCTACTGTCCTGCGCGAGTTCCAGGTACAGCCAGAGGGACCCCAGGAGACGTGCTTTTCTCAGACTTTGTCTTATGAGCCTGAAGCTGGAGATACCCCCTTCCAGTGCCTTCTGCTGGCGCTGAGGACTCTCTGGGTGGCGGGGTGAGGGGGTCACTCCCTTTCCCAAATTGAGTCTCTGGCAGCAAATGAGAGCTCCCGGGCTTCCCTGAAGTCACCCTCGAACCTGCTGCCCGACGTCTGCCCACAGACCTACATTCGCAGCATGGACAAGGACTTCGTGGCAGCCACGATCCAGGCCATTGGGCGCTGTGCCACGAACATAGGCCGAGTCCGCGACACCTGCCTCAGCGGCCTGGTGCAGCTCCTGTCCAACCGTGATGGTCAGTGTCTGCCTGTTTGAGTGTCCTGCCTCGGTGATAAGTGGGCGTCTGCCTGTGTGTCTTGCTCTGCTGGCCAACGGATAGCCCCCTGTGTATCTAGGCAATGTGTGTCCATTGGTCTGTCAGCTTCAGTTAGGGCTCAGGTGTTCCTACACCTCTGAGGGCCACCAACGAGGTACAGGGGGTTGAGCAAGAGAGCCCAGGGCCTGCCTGGGGGTGTTCCCCACGTAACGCTCCCCCGGGCTTGGCTGTCTGATGGCTTTCTTGTTCCACAGAGCTTGTGGTTGCAGAGTCGGTGGTTGTCATTAAGAAGTTGCTGCAGATGCAGCCAGCACAGCACGGGGAGATCATCAAACACTTGGCAAAGCTCACAGACAACATCCAGGTGAGGGGGTCACTGAACCCATTTCCCTGCTCGGCCCAGCATCTTCCCCGGGTTTTTTCTTTTCTTTATTTTTTTAATTATTTATTTGAGAAGAGTTAGAGAGAGAGGGAGAGACAGAGAGAAAGGTCTTCCATCTGCTGGTTCACTCCCCAAATGGCCACACTGTAGGAGCTGGGCCAGTCTGAAGCCAGGAACCAGGAGCTTCCTCTGGGTCTCCATATGGGTGGCAGGGGCCCAAGAACTTGGGACATCTGCTGCTGCTTTCCCAGGTGCATCAGCAGGGAGCTGGTTAAGAAGAGGAGCAACTGGGACATGAACTGGCGTCCATATGGAATGCTGGAGCTGCAGGCAGTGGCTTAGCCTCCTACACCACTGCGCCAGCCCCCCTGTGATTTTTAAGATCCTATGATTGGGGCCGGCACCTGAAGCACCGGCATCCCCTGTGGGCGCCGGTTCTAGTCCTGGCTGCTTCTTTTTCCAATCCAACTCTCTGCTATGACCTGGGAAAGCAGTAGAAGATGGCCCAGGCCTTGGGCCCCTGCACCCACCTGGGAGACTAGGAGGTCTGGCTTTGGATCAGCTCAGCTCTGGCTGTTGCGGCCATTTGGGGAGTGAACCAGCAAATGGCTCTCTGGCTCAACCTCTCTCTATAACTCTATCTTTCAAATAAATAAAATAGATCTTTAAAAAAAAAAAGATCCTATAATTAAGTGCTCTAGACTTATAACCAACTTCCAAATTTTCCAATTGGCTTCTAAAAGTCTTCAGGTGGCAGAGGGAGACGGAAAGGCTGGGCCATGTGACCTTGACTTTTTTGCCCAAGACTCGCCTTCCCTTTGGGGGTCCCTTGCTGAACCTTCCAGCCTTTACTTCTGATCTTGTTCTCTTTCAAAACCCCTGGCGAAGGATGGCTGGGAAATAACTCCTGGGTTTTTTTATGCACTGCTGAATTGAAACATCTAGAGAGAACACCCCTGAAGATTGAGAAGAATAATGTGGCTATAAAGCATTGAGGGTACAGATGAAGCCAGATAATCAGTCTTTTAAAATTTTTATTCATTTTTCATTTTTATTAGGCAGAGAGGGAGAGAAATGGAGATCTTCCATCTACTGGTTCACTCCCCAGATGCCCACAGATAGCTGGGGCTGGGCCAGGCTGAAGCCAAGAGCGTGGGACTTACTCCAGGTCTTCCATACGTGTGGCAGGGACTCAGGCCACCCCCTGCTACCTCCCAGGCGGCACATTAGCAAGGAGCTGGATCAGAAGCAGAGAAGCCGGGTCTGAAATCGGGCGCCTTCAATATGGGATGCAGGTGTCCTCTAAGTGACTTAATTGCTGCCCCGCACACTCGAGCCCAGAAAATCGGCCTTTGAAACCGTGACTGCCTTTGGAGCTACAAGGTTCTGTCCACACTCAGGAAGAGCGGAGATGCTGTCTACGAGGGGCCCACCTTTTCACCTCTTTCCCCCCACCTCCCGCTCTGTCTTCAGAGAACCCACAGTAGACCAGCACAGTCGGGGGAGCATCATTCGCCTGCAGGCCACGCTGACACTCATGTGCCCCTGTGACCCCAGTCCTGACCCCTCTCCCATGCCCGCAGGTGCCCATGGCCCGAGCCAGCATCCTGTGGCTCATCGGCGAGTACTGTGAACATGTCCCCAGGATCGCGCCGGACGTCCTGAGAAAGATGGCCAAGTCGTTCACGGCGGAGGAGGACATCGTCAAGCTGCAGGTCATCAACCTGGCGGCCAAGCTGTACCTGACCAACTCCAAGCAGGTAAAGGCTGACAGATGCGCCCCTCCCCAGAAGTTGAGCAGGCAGCATCCTTTTAGCCCTCCCTTGGCAGACCTGAACTCTTGCAAAGTCTCCAGGGCAGGTGGCGACTCATGTGCCCAGGTAGCCAGTGCTGCCCCGGCATCCTGGGCTCTGCTCAGACTCCAGGGCCTGGGAGGACTGACACTGTCACAGAGGCTCTGTGTTGAGGCCACGACCTCCAGCCTGCCAGATGGAGGGTCTCTGTCTGCTGCATTTGGGACTCCAGGTCTGTGAAGAGCCATGGTTGGTGCGGGCTGTCAGAAGGGGTCGGCAGCAGCGGACACTGATGAGACCATACGCCTCTCAGGACATGGGGTCTCTGCTGCTTCCCAAAGCTTGGTGATGCTTGGCCAGTCTGTGCCAGGGATAAGTCACACAGGGACACAGTGCTTCTGGTCACTGACGCTTGCCTATGGCTGCTTTTGCACTTCAAGAGCAGAGTTGACAAGCTGCACCAGTCTGTGTGGCCCTTTGTAGAAACAGTCACCTGCCCTTGAAACAAAGCATTTGGGCAGGAGGCTGGAGTCTGCAGCAGGCCCATACTCTGGGGACGGTGGCATCCCTGCAGGCCTGAAGGTGGTGGCAGACTTGGATGGTGGCTCCTTTGACCCTGGTGTCTAGAGCAGACCCCAGTGACTCAAGCTGGGGCAGCAGGGCCACCAAGTGCTGGGACTCTGGTTCGGAGCCAGAGAGGCCAGCAGCTGCATGTAGAAGCAATGGGGTCCTTGGTCTGCAGGTGTCAGATTGCAGAGGAAGCAAACTGGAGGGAGAAGCTTGAGGGGACACTGTGGGAAAGCACTCAGTCACAGGGCAAATGTTTGTGTGCTTCCTTTGTTCCCGTGGGAGCAATGTCTGAAAAGATGACACGGTGTGGAACGGATCTGGGGGCTGACCTGCTTAGGGTCGTGGGCCCCAGGACTGTGAGATTGGCGCATTTCCCCAAGTCTGGGCCTGCTGTGCATGTGGTGTCACCCCAGGTTGTCACCATTGGCCACCTGTGGGTTGTCAGAGCATCTCCTGTTTGCCCAGCCCTGAGCCGTGTCCTGGGGATATGACAAGACCCCAAATGCCCATAGCCAAGAGAGAGAAACAGCGCAGAAATGTGCATTCTAACCACAGAGCCTTGATCTCCATAGCCAGGATTAGCACAGAGAACTGTGGGTGAACCCCTTTCCTAGGCGGATGCAAAGGGGTCCCAGCCCGCATCGGGGCTGTCCAGGCAAGTGGACTCTGACATCCAGGCCACCCTGTGTATCTTTGCCAGCACGAAGATCACACAGAGTGATTCTTTGACTCAATAAGGAGAACTTTTGTGCCCCCTGTCTTTCTCCTCTCTTCCAGACTGGTGGAGTAAAGGGAATCCTTGAGTAAGAGGAGGGAGGGAGGGTGTGCACTTGGCCGCTTTGCAAAGCAGCACTGATGCTTTGGTCAGAAGCGAGCCTCAGATCTCACCCACTCGAAGGGGTGAGGGGAGGGATCACACAAAGGCAGGAGCGCCAGGAGACAGACCTTAAAGTCTGCCGCACCCTTCAGGCACTTACGTGTGGCGTGAGGTGAAAATGTATTTTAATTATTTTTAATCACCGGTTTCCCCTGCCTGATTTAACAGGTGGTTGCAAAGTAGCAGGTGCGTTGGCATCTATAGGCTATTGAGGGAGATTTAGTGCCTGCCGTGCTAATCCTCCCTGGCAGCTGGAGCCCGCTGGTCAGCGGGAGCCTGGTTCTGTCCGCGTGCCTCCTAGGCTCGCCAGAGCAGCCTGCATAATCCCCGCGGGGCCTGGCTAGGTGAGCTGGGGGTTCTGGTGGTGCAGACTGGGAGCCGCAATCCCTGGGGAGTGGTTGCTTCTGGAGGGGAAGTTCTAGCAGATCCTGCAACACTGTGGTGGGTGGACCGGCGCCTTGCCATGTTGTTGACACGCAGTTGAGGCTGTTGGGCAGGTGGATCCTAATCCTGCACGGTTCTTTCTAGAATGAGGCAAGGTAGGGAGGGGAGGGCGCTGTCCTAAACTGGAAAGGGAGGCTCAGTGGCGTGCTGATAATGGACCTTGTAAATAAGGGCACCCCGCTCCCCCAGGCACGGCCGGTCAGGTAGCATCCTGCCAAAGCAGGGACGGGGTTGGTGAAGTCAGTTGCATTGGCATCCTATTTTCATGTTTTTCTGTCTATTATCTTAGGGCACATGGGCTTAGAAACACTTACCTGTGACTGGAGCCAGCGCTGCAGGTGCTGCTCTATTGTAAGGGACTCAGCCTAGCTTGGGTGAGGCCACCAAGGTCCCTGTGGGCCACGTTGGAGGCAGGGGTGGAGTCACAGTGGCTGTGATGCTGGGCCAGCTGCATGTAACCATCACCATAAACCTCAGGAGTACGAGGGTCGGTTCCAGGCTCCCTCGTGCTGGTCCCTGGTGCCCGAAGGCACCTGGCTGTTGTGCACTTGGTGGTTTTGGTCTTGGTCATGGCAGATAGAGACCTAGAGAGCTGGGTCAGTGCAGCCCCCTGAGGTCAGCAGGTGCATAGTGAGCTAAGTGGACAGGGTATGGCCCTTGCACCAGGCCTGGATTAGCCAGGGGGCTCCTCTGCTGGGAGAAGTCACTTAACGACCGCTTCTCTGTACAAGGAAGGAAGAGTAGCTCCCCCACAATGCACACGGGGCTGTGGCGATCACACGTGGGGCACCAGCTTAGTGCTGGAAGGCTCATGGATTTTGGCTGCTGCAGCTGAGGCCTTGGGCAGGCAGGTTCAATCTCGAAGGTGGACTGTGAACCCCATTTGACCTCGGCAAACCCATGGACAGCTGCAGGGCCTTCCAGGGAGGGATCGGGGCTTCTGAGGCTGTGGGGCCCACAGAGCCTGTTGTGAGGACAGCAGGGCAGAGGACAGCTCCTGCCAGAGGATCCCTTTGTGCCGCCCAGGTCCTCCGCCGCCCCACGTGGTGAGCTTGGGGACTGGGAGGTCTAGCAGGATGTTCCCGTCCTTGCCACGCCCTACCGTCTCCCTGGGGAGAAGGTTGGCCAGGCCTGGGGCCGTGGAGACCACAAACCTCCAGAAAAGTGGAATCCAGAGAGGGGAGGGTCTGCAAGGGCAGAGCTCCTTGCCTGGCCAGGGGCTGAGTGACGACCCAGGGCCAGAGAGGAGAGGGACTGGCGCCAAGAGCCACAGGGCTCGGGGTTGGGGGTGGGGAAGAGGCAGTCATTGCTAATGGGGCCAGGGGAACTCTGCTGGGAGGCGGGGCCTGCGAGGAGCTGCCACTCAGCCGCCCACGCCCCACCGGCTGACCCGCGGCTCCTCATTCACCCAGACCAAGCTGCTGACCCAGTACGTGCTGAGCCTGGCCAAGTACGACCAGAACTATGATATCCGGGACCGGGCGCGCTTCACCCGGCAGCTCATCGTCCCCTCGGAGCAGGGTGGGACCCTCAGCCGCCATGCCAAGAAGCTCTTCCTGGCACCTAAGCCAGCCCCGGTCTTGGAGTCATCTTTCAAAGGTGCGAGCTGAAGTCCAGGGTAGCCTTCCAGCCCCAGCCCCTCTCCCGAGGGCCCGAGTCTCAGCCGGGCACTAGGCTCCTGTGGACTGGACTTCTGGGGGCAGTGCCAGCCCAGCCCTGCCCCCTGGCTCAGCCCTCTTGCCCTTCCTTTAGCACCCACGGCCTGCTGTCTTCCCCACCCACACCTGCCACCTGTGTCACCTCACCCAAGTGCCCTCCCTGCCAGGGTGGTGCCTGGCTCCCCTCATTTTCCCAGGCTGCCCTCCCCATTGCTTTGTCTGAGCAGGTGCAAGGTTTAGGAATCTATCAGAATTTTAAATCCCAAGGACCCAGGAAGGCAGGAAGTAAGGCAATGCCCCCGGGGGAGGTGTCCATTTATAAAGGGCCCATGCGCGGCTGCCAGCACCCTGTAGGCTATGTCACCATCAGCCCACACCCTGGGCCCAGGCCTCAGCCTCTCCTTGCTCAACAGGCTTGGCTCCTCCTGGGAGGGGGAGGAGCCTCCTTCCCAAAGCACTGTTCTCCTGGGCAACTCCATTCTTCTCTTCCCAGGACGCAGGAGTAGGGGGGTTCTGAGGGGTGGGGCCACCTTGAAAGTCTGCCAGGAGAGCAGGGCAGCAGCCCCTGCCCCCAGCACCCCCTCCTCACTCACAGGTGTCTGCTGCCCTTCCATGCCCCCTGCCTGCCCTCTGGCCCCGACTCCCTCCCAGTCCCATTCTGACCGCTCCCACCTCCCCCTGGGTCCAGGGCTGGAGCAGACTGGCCTCTTGCTTGGACCTTGGCCCGGCAACCGCTGCCACACAGTCACCGTCCTCGTCCCCTCTGGCCGTCTGCCAGGCCTGCAGTGGTACAAGCCCTGTGGCCTGCAAGGAAAGGCGCATTCACTCTGCTGCCTCACCCGCCCCTGCAGGCCCACCGCCTCCACCCCTTAGCCCCTGCTCTGCCCAGCCTGACAACGCCCAACAGCCTTTCCTTCTAGCACGTGGCCTGCAGGTGCAGTCAGAATGGAAGAGCCACCAGGGCACCTCTGGCCTTGCCCTCCCCTGATAGGGAGTCTGACCAGAATTGCCACAAAGCCCACCTAGGAAATCACCCCTCATGGCCACTATAGGCCTGACCTGTAACCCTGTCCCCTAGACCGGGACCACTTCCAGCTGGGCTCACTGTCCCACCTGCTCAATGCCAAGGCCACAGGCTACCAGGAGCTCCCAGACTGGCCGGAGGAAGCCCCAGACCCATCTGTGCGCAACGTGGAGGTCAGTGGGATGAAGGGGTTGACTTGTAGGGGTGGGGTGGGTGTGGAGGGGCACAGAGAGCAAGGGGCCCAAGAAGAGCTGGCCCAGCCCTGCCGATGCCCTCCCACACACAGGAAGAAGACCTCTCCCTTACTGAGACCCACGTGGGCCTGTTGGGCGAATACATCGAGGTCCCCCTGTGTGCTGTGTGCTCTCCTGTGCCCTGCTCTGCCCTGCCCCTGCTCCATGTCCTGGCCCCCGTGCTTTCCCTCACCCCATTTCCTCCTTGGTTTGTGAAAGGCACCCCTCTTCCCACCGTAGAGAGTCCCCTTTGTTCTTTCCCATTACTCTTGTGGGGACAGGAACAGGTAGGACCTCAAGAAGAGGTGAGCCTTGTTTCCCCCGCCCAACCGTGATGACTGGACCCCTCCATCCCCAGGTGCCCGAGTGGACCAAGTGCTCGAATCGGGAGAAGAGGAAGGAGAAGGAGAAGCCTTTCTACTCCGACTCTGAGGGGGAGTCGGGCCCCACAGAGTCTGCAGACAGTGGTGAGATGAGCAGAGCTGGGCCCTCTGCCCCTGCCCACGCATGCGCCTGGGGACTCACTCCCTGGAGGGCGTGTGGTCCTGTGTGCAACCATGTGTGTGCCCTGCTCATGATTGCTGTGTGTGTTTGAGCAGCCGAGGGACAGGTGCGTGTGCAGGTGTCTACCCACGTGGGCCTATCCCTTCCTGCCTGGTTTCAGTTGGCGTCTGGGGCCAGGGGCAGGTCACAGGGGGTGTGGGGATTTAGAACTGAGTCTGAAGCTGGGGCCCAAGGTACCTGTTGTGGACCCCAGGAGGCTGCGTGCGAGGGAGGGAGGGGGCCCTGATACAGTTCCTCCCCAGAGCCAGCGTCTGAGAGTGAATCGGATAGTAAGAGCAGCAGCGAGAGTGGCTCCGGGGAGTCCAGCAGTGAGTCTGATAATGAAGACCAGGAGGAAGATGAGGAGAAAGGCGGAGGCAGTGAGAGGTAAGAGGAAGGCCGGCCAGGTGTGCGGTGGGATTCGGGGGTCTAACACTGTGCCTTGTGCAGGCCACTCAGAGCCACAGAGGGCTCCCATGAGGCTCGCCCTGGCTGGCTGCTCATGGGGGTGGTCTGGAGAAGCAGCCAGGGGCCTGGAGCCTGGCCCGGCGTGAGCTGGTTTCACGTTCTCATTGGGACTCAGCCTGGGAGCCCCATGGACCTCTGCCACCCAGGCTCCGCACCCTGACCCCCATCTTCAGGACTGCCCCTGTCTCCTGAAGCAAAGAGGGGGGTTCCAGGCCAGAGCTGAACCCTGCTTTCTGGCTGTGCAGTGAACAGAGTGAGGAGGAAGGTGAGAAGAGGAAGATGAAGAAGAGAAAGAAGGCGCCGGCGGGCCGGGGGGAGGGCTCGTCCTCAGACGAGGACAGCGAGTCCAGCAGCAGCTCCTCGGAGTCCGAGGAGACGTCGGAGTCCGAAGAGGAGCAGGCAGAGCCCGCCTCCTGGAAGCGGAAGACGGTGAGACCCTCAGGACGGAGTGAGGGGCTCGTGGCCCAGGGCCCTCCCCACGCCCTGGGGGCATGCCCGGACAGGCTGCACAGCATCTTCGTCTCAAACCCAAACAGATACCCACGTCCGATTTTCCTCTTTCAGCCTCCCAGTAGCAAAAGTTCCCCGGCAGCCAAGGAGGTCTCCCTGCTGGACTTGGAAGACTGTGAGTAGGGGAGGTCAAAGTCACAGGGCCGAGGAGGCCACAGGGGGTGTGCGGCCTACACTTGCCATAGGCGGCTGAACATTGGACTTCCGGGGTCTCCGGTTGGGGTGCAGGGTGGGTGTTCTGCTGAGAGCCTCCAGGTGCCATTGCCTCGCTGTCCGTGGTGCTGAACTGCTTTCTCTTTGAGCCCGGGGCTCCCTGCTCAACCCAAGCCAACAGCACCTTGCCTCTCCCTCATTGTCGTACTCCCTGTCTGCTCCTACAGTCACCCCTCCCAGTGTCCAGCCCGTGTCGCCCCCCACCGTTGTGTCTGCCAGTCTCGCTGCTGACCTGGAGGGCCTGACGCTCACAGACACCTCCCTGGTGCCCTCGGTGAGTAGGATGGGGGAGGGGCTGGGCTGGGGTCAGGGTGCAACTCCGTGCTGTGTCTCATGTGTGAATGTGCGTGTGGAGAGGACACTGGCTCTGGGTCCTTGGCGGATGGTCCTGCGTGCGGACAGAGCTGGGGCAGGCCTGCTCCTCCTTGCTCATGTCCGCACTCCCCTCCCCCACTCTAGCTGCTGAGCCCCGTGTCTGGAGTCAGGAGGCAGGAGCTGCTGCACCGGGTAGCTGGCGAGGGGCTGGCTGTGGACTATGCCTTCAGCCGCCAGCCTTTCTCTGGTGACCCCCACATGGTATCCGTGCACATCTACTTCTCCAACAGCTCAGACACCCCCATCAAGGGCCTGCATGTGGGCACCCCTAAGCTGCCCGCCGGCCTCAGCATCCAAGAATTCCCTGAAATCGGTATGGAAGGGCCCGGAGAAGGCGGTTCTTGGGGCAGAATTGGTCTTTTTTGTGGCGCTAGTACCTCTGTGCACCAGGCTGTGGGTGGAAAAGGTGGCGTCTGACATGATCCCCGCGTGGGTGGGCAAGATAGGCAGGGACCCGATGCACCTCCCTGCCCTGGCAGGAACATCTGGGCCTTGGTTGTCTCAGGACTGACGTAAATGGAGTGAGGGTTAGTGCAGGAGGGCGTCTGCAGATTTTAGGAGGAGCCCAGGGACAGCGTCTGGGCCCAGAGGGTCAGAGTTCCGCAGAGCACTGGTTAGCTGGGGCAGGGGAGGGGAGGGAGGGTGAGGCTAGCCTGGGTCCAGACCATCAGCTCATGGTGTCCCCTCCCCCTTCCCTGCCTGCACTGCTTCAGAGTCTCTGGCACCTGGAGAAACCGCCACTGCAGTGATGGGCATCAATTTCTGCGACTCAACCCAGGCAGCCAACTTCCAGCTGTGGTACGAGTGCACCTCGGGGTGCAGGTGGGAGGGAGGCAGGGTCCCAGAGCCGGAGCTGCAGGTGGGGGTGGGGGGCTCCCTCATGGCTGCGTGGGTCTGCCCTCACGCTGCTGCTGCCTGCCACGCCCTGCCACGAGCCACAGGGGGCAGTGAGGAGACAGATGCTGGCCTCAAGTCCTCTTCCTCTGTCTCCTCCCACCCCCTCAGCACCCAAACCCGGCAGTTCTACGTCTCCATTCAGCCTCCTGTTGGGGAGCTGATGGCCCCCGTGTTCATGAGTGAGAATGAGTTCAAGAAGGAACAGGGTGAGTGCCTCCTGGGGTGGCGGGGAGGGAATCCACACCGGCCACCACATTCACGAAACACCATGGTGGTTACGGTGGGGGAATCTCCGCTCCCCCACACAGAGGGAGGCCCCGGGGTTTGTGCTTCCAACAGAGGCTTCCCACAGGCTGGGATGCTTCCACCAGGCTGGGTGTGTCATGTGCAAAGAGGCTGGTAAGGGCAGGTCAGAGTGCATAGACAGAGAGGAGTCCCCGGTGCAGGGGAGCGCGTGGTTAAGAAGAAAGCCGGAAGTGGTAAGAGTAAAGCCGGAAGTGGTAAGAATAAAGCCGGAAGTGGTAAGAGTAAAGCCGGAAGTGGTAAAAGTAAAGCCGGAAATGGTAAAAGTAAAGCCGGAGTGGCACGTCCGGTCTGGTTTCTGGAAGCCCTGAATGCTAAGCTAGAAGGTTGCAGTCCAACAGTTTCAGTGCTGGAAGGGGTCCCAGGTGGCCATCTGTGCTGGCGGGTTCAGTGTACCTGGACTCAACCAACCACAGATAAAAACTATCTTTAAAAGCATTACGTGGGTACTGAACATGCACAACTTTTTGCTTGTCGTTCTTCCCTAAGCGACACAGCAGAGCAAGTGTTGTCTCGGCACTCCCGTCGTATTAGGCATCACAAGGCAGCTGGGGATGATACAGAGGAGGTGGGAGGCTGTGGGAGTTTACACACCAGTTCCAGGGCCTCCTGGGGGCGGGACTTGAACACGCACAGCTCTGTGTATCTGGAGGGTGGCATGCTGGAAGCAGCGCCCGACAGGCACTGGGGAGAGAAGACTGTGGAGTTCGATCTGGCAGTAGAGGAATCGTTGAAGGTTTCTGAGAAGAGGACAGGTTGAAACCTCTGCTTCAGGAAGAGGTGCCACACTGCCACTCAGGGTTGGGACCGCCCAGCAGAAACACATCTCAGGACCTGGAGCCCGGCGTTCATTCTGAACCTGCCCCTCGGTTGGTGTGTGACCCTGGGCTAAGGGCTGTGGCTCATTACAGGAAGCTGTGGCCCCAGGTCTGGTGGGAGATGTGAGGACCAGGATCCAGGCCCGTGCAAAGAGAAAGGAGGGCTGGGTGGAGGGGGTGATACTGGAGGGGTGGGGTACGTAAGCTGACTTTAGGATTTCCCGCTTGGATGGCAAGGAGAATGGGGTGTGGGCTTTAATTCCAAATGTTGAAAGTCCCAAAGGTCAAAATCCCAAAAATATAACTCTAGAAAAAAAATTCAGAAACATTCTTTGAAAGCTATTTGTGTACATGTTTTCAAGGGGATTTGTTTGGGCAATATACAAAAACACTACAGAACACTTCCTAGGCCACTTCACACAATGCGGCAGGCCACATACACATTTGCAAATGTAAATGCTCAAGTGTGCTGACAGCAGTCGCACTGGTAGCCAAAGCGTGCAGTTCAAAAGCACTGAAATGTCCCAGAGCATCGCCGTGGTTGGGAGCTGTGTCTCCCCAGCGTTAGAGCCACGGTCATCTGAAATTTTGTGACAGACAACCTGAGTCTTTTGTCTGGTCCCCACCACTTCTACAGTCACCAGAGAGCTGAGATTTCAAGAAAATATTTTTTAAAGATTTATTTTATTCGAAGGCAGAGTTAGAGAGGGAGAGGGAGAGTTAGAGAGAGTGGCTACAACAATGGAGAGAGAAATCTTCCATCTGCTGACTCACTCCCCAAATGGCCACAGTGGCTGAGGCTGGGCCAGGCCAAAGCCAAGACCTTGGAACTCCATCCAGGTTTCCCATGTGGGTGGAAGGGCCCAGGCACGTGGGCCATCTTCCACTGCTTTCCCAGGCACGTTAGCAGAGGGCTGGCTTGGAAGTGGTGCAGCCAGGACTTGAACCGGCGCCCATATGGGATGCTGGCATTGTAGGCGTAACCTGCTGTGCCATAAAGCTGACCTCTCTCTCAGGAAACTTTTTCAAAAATGCATATGTACAAAAAGGACATATCTTCATGTACCGAGGAGGTTTCTATGTTTTTACGTTGTGCTAGTGCCTATGTATGGAGTCACATTTGTTTAGAATGAGCTAGAACTTTCTAGAAGCCCTTACACAATGTATACCTCCAGTTTTGGAAATCACACAAAGATGCAAAACATAGCACAGCAAATTATAAAAAACAATGCTGTTAGTGTGGCTTATTTAGAAAGAATAAATCAAAAGCATTTATAAAATTATTGGAGACAAGCCTTGTTAGGAACGAGATGAAGGAACAGCAGAGGTGGTCTGTCCATCTCTCGTTGGGACTGCACGCCCCAGGAGAGAAGAGGGGGTCAGGCTCATAAAACCTGCAATGGACAGCATGAAGAATTTCAGGTTGTTGTGAAGGATTGTAAAGTAAAAAACAGACCTGCACACTCACATTACATCACCGAAATGCTTTCCAAAATTATCTTGCATTTTCTTCAGCTTTTTTAACCCAACAAATTGCAGTGTAGATAGTGGCTACAACAATAGCTTTTTAAGCCCCTAGTGTCAGTTGGAGAATGTGTCTGGACTTCTTTTGCTGAGGCTTTATCTTTATGACAATGTAGGGAATAAAAATCTACTCAGGTAAAAATAATCCAAAAAGACATAATTATGCATATAGTCTTTTAAAAAATTGAGAAGCCAAGAGACCGGAAGACAGAGCTCCATTCTGCTGGTTTACTCTCTAAATGCCTGCAGTGGCCAGGGCTCAACAAGGCCGAAGCCAAGAGCTGGAAACTCAATCCGGGTCTCCCAGATGGGTAGTAAGAAGCCAATTATTTGAGCCCTCACCACTACCTTCCAGGTTCTGCGTTAGCAGGAAGCTGGAGTCAGAAACCAGCTGGGAGTGGAACCCAGAGGGCCTAGTGTAGGACATGGATATCCCAACTGGTGCCTTAACCACTGGGCCAGATGCCTCTCCCTATAGCCTGTTTTCTGTTTTGTTTTGTTTTCCAGTGTGGTTTGTGGTTCGGGGGATTTCAGGGATTTTAATCTTTCTGGATTTCAGCATTTGGGAGCGTGTCTTTGGGGGGGACTACGGCCAGCGGTGTCCATCACGTAGAGTGGGGTCAGACTTCCTGCGTCGTGGGCCATGTCAATGTTTCAGGCATTGCGGGTCCTGTGGTCTCTGTCACAGTTACTCAGCTCCGCGTTTGTAACCCAGAAAGATGATATATATGTAAGAGAGCGAAACGTGGCTGGCTTCCAATATAACTTTATTTATACACACTGCGATTTAACTTTCATCTAATTTTCATGTGTCATGAAATACTATTTTAACTTCCCCCAATACATAAAAATTGTAAAACAAACAAACAAAAAACCCCAACACTGCAGGCCATACAGGGAGTGGGCTGAATGAGGGTGCTTTGAAAGTTCACGAAAATTTGAATAAAAAGATGATTTGGGGGAGGAGGAAATCCATGCCTACGCAGGACTGCCCCACAGGCTGCGATTGGCCAGACCCCTGATCTGGGAGAAAGGACAGACTGGGCAAGGGAAGGGGGAAGATCATGCTAAGTTTTGGGGTCAGCTGGTTGTAAAAGCATTTGGGAATTCAGGAAGTGCCAGTGTGTAGCTGCACCCAAAGGTGCCTGCCCAGGAAACACCTTTGAGCCTGGAGTCCTGGGTGTGCAGGTGGTGATGAAAGCCGTGAGGGAGAGTGAGGTCACCATGGACGAGGGGGTGGGCGATAAGGCCGAGGACTTCTAGAACCTTGATGGAAACCTGACTTCCACAGAAGAAAAGGAGTGAGAGCTGGGTTGGGGGGTGGCAAGTGCCAAATCCATCTCTGGTGGACAACTTGGACAGGCCCTGGGTGGGCAGCTCGGGGAGGCTGATGAGGCTTCCATGGGGGGGCCAGGGCCCCCTGACCACTAGGCATTCTTGCCTGTCCTCATCATGACCTCTGCCCCCAGGAAAGCTGACGGGCATGAACGAGATCTCAGAGAAGCTCGTGCTGCCGGATGCCTGTCGGAGCGACCACGTCGTGGTGCAAAAAGTGACGGCCACTGCCAACCTGGGTCGAGTCCCTTGTGGGGCAGCTGAGGAGTACAGGTGCGTGGCCCCCAGCAGACAGGAGGACATGGGCTCTTGAGGTCCTGTTTGCAGGGCGTCCGAGGGGCTGAACCCCTTCCTAACATAGCCACCTCTCCCCTCCTCCCACCTCAGGTTTGCAGGAAAGACCCTGACCAGCGGGAGCCTGGTGCTGCTCACCCTGGACGCCCGGCCGGCCGGAGCTGCCCAGCTGACCGTCCACAGCGAGAAGATGGTGATTGGCACCATGCTGGTGAAGGACGTGGTGCAGGCCCTGAGCCGGTGACTCCCAAATGCCAGCACCTCGGCTCACCTCCCCTGCCCGTGACAAGCAGGCTGTCTCTGTTTCTCTCCCTCTCAGCCTCCACACCAGCTAGCATCCAAGGGTCCCCTCCCCCCTCCCATGGGTTTCCTGGTGACCCCCAGCTCCCTGTAGCTGTGTATGTAGCAGAGTCTTAATAAAGTATGTTCTCGCACACACTGGCTCACCTCTCCTTTAAAAAAAAAATAAAACATTTATTTATTTGAAAGAGTTTCAGAGAGGCATAGGCAGAGAAATAGAGAGAGGTCTTCCATCCGCTGGTTCACTCCTCAAAGGGCTGCAATGGCCAGAGCTGGGCCAATCCAAAGCTAGGAGCTTCTTTCAGGTTTCCCACGCAAGTGCAGGGGCCCAAGTACTTCTTGGGCTGCCTGCCACTGCTTTCCCAGGCACATTAGCAGGGAGCCAGATTGGAAGTGGAGCAGCCAGGACTTGAACCAGTGTGCGTATGGGATGCCAGCACCACAGGCAGAAGCTTTACCCACTATGGCACAGCACCGGCCGCCACCTCCCTCTAAGGGCTTGGGGGCAGAGCTGCTAAGGGTGATGGTGTGTGGCCCTTGTGACCTTACACAGGAGGGGGCAACTCTGTTTGCATCTCCATGGTGATCAGCTCCAGGAAGGGATGTCTGGGACTCTGGAGGTCTCTTGTGGAAGAGACATCAGCTGGGCAGGGAGGGGGACACTAAGCCAGCGGGACTGCTGGGCTCTGCCTTGAACAGCTGTGCTTCTCAGGGGCTCACCCACACCCTTGGTTCCCTCCGTGGGCCCTTGGGAAGGAAGGACCCATAATATGGGGAATCCCCCAAGCGCAGGTGCACGGTTCAGGCCAACGACATCCGGAAGCAGGGCCTGGGGGCCACTTCAGAGCAGGAGGAACAGGAGACACAAGCTTCGCCATCCACCTGTGGTGACCAGCACGTCCATCTGTGGATGCACCTGAGCGAGGATCACGGCGGACACACATGGCAGGTGCAGTGGTGAGGAAAGAGGCCTCGTGGCCAGTGGTTCAGAAAGGTGTGAAAGGTGCCCCGTTCTGCACCACCTCCCACACCCCCCACCCCCCACAGAGGAAAACCAACTATGATCAGGCCTCAAGGGTTCAAGGGAAATAAGTTCATTTCCCACAGGTCTTCTCAGAGCCTCTACCATGCTAATGTGCACGGTGGCCGCCTTCAGAGCGTCCAGAGCTTGCAGTGGCCGAACTTGGTCTTGAGCTTGGACTGCTTTTCCCACAGAACATCTCAACTGACTGGGTTACAGGGAACGCACTCAGCCTCCAGTGCTCCAGGAGAGGCCTCCATGCTGTCGCCTCAGCAGCCCTGAGCCAGTGTGAAGCCAGCGTCACTCCTTGTAGGGGAGAACAAAGGCGGTGCCCGGGGACTCGCCAGGCTGGGTGGCACCAGAAAGCAGCTGGTGCTGTCACTTCCCCGCGGGCCTTCCCCGGGCTGTCTGTCACTGCATTCTCTGAGGCTAGGGTCACATAACTGGTGGATTCCTCACTTTTGCCCCCAAGTCAGCACTGACGGTGGCACTGAGGAGGAGGCCAGGGAATCCCTTCCTAAGGAATTTGAACAAGGACAGACAGAGAACTCCTTAGTGGCCTTCATTCTGCATCAAGGACCCAGAGCGCATGCAGCAGGGAGCATGGCAGCAGGCAAGCGCCTCAGCATTCCTCCACAGCCCGCCCTCCTGGAAAGGGACTGGATCCAGCACCGGAACCTTGGCCTCGGCTCTGCGCCGGCTTCTCTGGATGTGTCCCAGGCCTTGGGACTGGCAATAACAACTCTTCACAAGGAAATGGTTCTTGTGCTTGTCTGCGGAGAGACAGGAAGTGGGCGAGCGCTGGGAGGGCTGTGCAGCCATCTCCCACCCAGGACGGGTAAGGGGCTCAGGGCATTGTGTGTGTGTGTGTGTGTGTGTGTGTGAGAGAGAGAGAGAGAGAGAGAGAGAGAACCTCGGTTGGAGGGGTGGGGGAAGAGGCCACTCCAGCTCTCATCCTAGTCCAGCCCGTCTCTTCCAAGTCTCTTCCATGGACAGACACCCCACGGCCCCACCACGTCAGCCTCCCCCAGTGTCTGTAGGGACAAGACAGGGCCCACGCAGCACACGCCCCCGATGAAGCAGATCAGACATGCCGGGGCTTTTCCCCACTTTCTTTTCCAACCCTGTACATTGGACAGGCCTGGGTCTTTGCCACTGTGCTAGCAGTGTGTCCCTAGGGCCTTAGGGGCATGGTCACAGGCTGTCTGGACCTGAGCTGGCAGGGGCCAGGTTTCCCGTGAGCGGCATCCATGGGGCAGGTAGCAGGATGCAAACGCTGGGCTGTAGGGCTCAGGCGGGGGCCCAGGGTCACAGGGCAGACTGGGAAACGTCTCAGGATCCGCAGGAAGGGCTGTGGCTGGGGAGTGGAAGTGGATGGAAGCGTAAGGACTGGCACAGAGGCAGAAACTGTCCCAGCAAGGGCGGGGTCGAGCCCAGCCTCAGGCCCCTGCTGCTCAGAGGACAGTGAGCTCTGGGAAGGGCTGGGAACTGGATGACTTCAAATCCATGCAGGAGAAAGGGCTCTTGTTTCTGGCCAGGCTACAGCCCCCAGGCAATGGATCTGTTGAGACACGAGCCAGCCAGCGAGGGAGCCACACACAGACCCCAGAGATGGATCTGTTTAGACACAAGCCAGCCACACACAGGCCGCAGAGATGGGGCACTGATCTGCACCCACGCCTTAGCCCCCAGCCAGCCAGTCCCTAGGGCAACCCCTGTGCTAATTCAGGGCACCCTACAGGGCCACCTCCTGGTGTAGCCTCCAGATAAAAGGAATGGGTGTTGAACGGGTGACGGGACTTGCCCCAGCCTGACTGGGAAAGGGAAGGGATGCTAGGAAGATTCTGACCCACCCAAGGGCCTGGCCCCTGGACACTCTTAGTGTCCCCCAGTTGCCGCCATTCCCACCAGGCAGCCTGGTTTAGGCCCCTTTGTCTTCCACCAGGCATTTTCTGAGCAGCTGTCATGTGCTAGGCACCTTGGTCACAAAGCAGCAGGCTGATGGTCAGCAGTGGGAGGGGTGGGGGAGCCTTGGGTCTTCCTGCAGCCTCAGCCTGGTCAGTTTTATCTCCAAAGATCAAGAGTGAGATGGTGAACTTGGCCCTGGGAGGACAAAACCCTGGCTGGGTTATGGGGAATGAAGGCTAGGAGTGGGGTACACTCAAGGAAAAGCAGCAGTGTGAACCTTCTTGATTCTTCTTGATCTGACACCAGGGGCTTGCTGTCCCCCACCCAGCTAACTTGGGAGCCCTATTCTAACCATGACTTAGTGCCCCTCTTGAGTCACTGGGGCTTTGGGCTATGGTTTGCAGATTTGTCCCCCGAACTCCTGCTGGAGGTTAACTCTACTGGGAGGAGGAAGAGGGTAGAAACTCCATGTGACTGCGGTGTTTAGACACTGGGCCTTTGGGAAGTGGTCAGGGTTAGATGAGCTCATTAAGATGGAGCCCCCATAATTGAATCCTGGTGGCTTTACAAGGGAGGGGCTGGTGCTGTGACAGAGTGGGTTAAACCACTGCCTGCCAGCATCCCATATGGGTGCCAGTTTGTGTCCTGGCTGCTCCACTCCCTGCTAATGCACCTGAGAAAGCAGTGGAAGATGGCTGATGGCTCAAGTGCTTGGACTTCTGCACCCACGTGGGGTGCCTGGAAGAAGCTCTGGGCTCCTGGCTTTGGCCTGGCATAACCCCAGCTGTTATGGCCATTTGGAGAATGAATCAGCGATGGAAGCTCTATCTCTGCCTTTCAAATAAATAAATAATCTTAAAAAAAAAAAAAGAAGAGGAGGAGGGAGGGAGGAAGGTACGGGCACTGTGGTGCGACAACTAAGACACTCACATCCCATGTCAGAGTCCTGGCTTTCAGTCTCTGCTTCCAGTCCAGCTTCCTGCTGACCACACACACCCTGGGAGGCAGCAAGCGATGGCTCAGGTGCCCGGGTCCCCGCCATCCACGTGCAAGATCCAGACTGAGTTCCCAGCTCCTGGACTCAGCCTGGTCCAGCCTCAGTTGCTGTGGGTATTTGGGGAGTGAACCAGCAGACGGAAGATCTCGCTCTGTCTCGCCCCCTTACTCTGTAACTCTGCCCTTTAAGGAAGAGAAATCAGACACACACGCATGCTCGCTGTCTCTTGCTGTATGACGCCCTGTGCTGCCACAGCACTGTGCCAGCAAGGAGGCTGTCACCGATGAGGCCCCTGGGCTTTGCGCTCCCAGAACTGTGAAGCAAGATAACCTTTATAAATCATGACTTTCATTAGAATAATGCAAACCGACTCACGCCCAAGCCTCACATCCCAGCAGGCCCTGCAGCACAGACGCTGCCAACAGTGTCGTGAGACTGCTTCCCTCCCATCCAGGCCCAGATACACAACGGCCATGTCTGAGAATTTTTTTTTTAAAAAGCCCTTTCAGTATTTAAATGTATATATAAATATTTAAGTATGATATTCCCATAGAAAATGGTATCAATCACCAGTGAAGAACCAGATGTTTCCAGAAGGGGACAGCACAGACAGGCCCCAGACCTGGCAACAGTGCAAGGGCCCTCTTCCAGCGTGGGGCAGTGCTGACCTTGGCTGAGATGACCGAGCCCTGAGGTCAGTCAACACCAGACTCCAAAGGGCAGTGGGACCCCGGAAGGCCAGCATGGACCTGTGTGTAGCAATGCCATTCTCTGGGGCCACCAGGAACCCGTCACCCACAACCTCTGCAGTAGAGGCAAGGATGTATGGGAGTAAGTGGGACTGCCTTCTCACTTTGATGGGGCCACAGTCTGAGCAAACAACTCCAGGGAAGGTGACCTGGAGCCAGTCCTTGATGTGCTGACCCCAGCATCTGCACCTGCTGCAGGAAGCCAGGGCAAGGGAGGGTTGGCGCTTTCCTCAGAGACAAGGCAAGACTGAGATCCTGGCTTCCTGAGCCTGCTGCCAGCAAGAATTCATATCCACTGGGAAACCTCTGAGCACCTCGATGTCTTCAGCTGTGCCATGTGGGGACGGCCCTTCAAGTTCCATGTCTCGGGCACCCATCAACCCATCTGCAAGCATCTTTGAGCCCAGCCAGCGCTCCAGGATGGCCTGTGCCCGCCCCCCCCCGCCATGATACTTGCACAC